CTCATTAATATCCGTCCAGACTAACGTTACGTAATATAACTTAGCTCATCGAGAGACAGATAGATATTTTTATTCCTGATATACACGTTTTTGTTCCTCAGATCTGGTGTAGGCCTACGCTACACACGATCGCGTTTTTGGAAGCCGATGCGGAAGAGAAATCCTGTCTCTACAGCTGCACAAACCGCACACAGGCACGATACACAGCACCGTCCCTTTTCTTGTTAGGAAACCTGACTCGATGTCCTGACAGGCCGGAAACTTTTGCAACCTCCACAAACACAATAATTTACAATGATGACGATGATCAATTAAAATATAAAAACTACCAAAAACACTGATTCACGACCGCTCTTACTGAAATTCGATGCCACAAGAACAAGAGGTTTTACATATTCACAATATCACATTAACATTAGCTGCCAGGAAATAAAAAATACAAAAAAAAAGTTTTACATAAAATCCTGTGCTTTCAAAGCATTACATGTTTTCATTGCTTTTTTGTTTTTAGTTTGTTTGTTCCAAAAGATGTACATATAATGTGAAGTCATTTATAAAACGTGAAAAAAAGCCCAATTCTTTTTATGTACATGGTATTTTCCTAATAAAACAAATAACTGTATAATATGTTGTTCTTTACATTCCAAATTGTCATTCTGAGTACAAAAAAGCAAATTTACCCGCTCTACTGAATACAAACCTATCTGCGCTACTGAGGCTCCCTCCCTCTGGTGACGTAAAATGACGCGATGCTGAAAAGAAAACGGTTTTTACGAGCAGTCAAAGAAACGCTCACTTTATCTACTAAATGTGTGCCCTTATGTCGTTTTAAAACATTTTAAATCCTGCATTACCTTTTCATATGGTATTTTCATACAAGGTTAGATATTAATTTAGATTTTTTTTTTTACCTGCAATATGCTCTTTAATGTGAGGGACAGAAGTCTATTTACATCATTAAATTAAAGTTTACGGAAACTCGTTTTCCCTCCTCTGCGGCTGTCAATCATTCTCCATTCAGTATTCAAACAGCGCGCGCGCCTCGTCCGGTTACAGCAGGATGCACGGTAAAACTATCCCCAATATGATATATTCACATTATAATGCTTGATCTGTAGATAAAAGGCTGTGGATTTGCATAAAATTACTTTATTTTGTGTATTTGTATATTAAGTTTGTTGCTGTTTTTAAACGACTCGCTACCATGCCTGTTAGCACAAGGACTATGAATCGGCATCAAACTCACAATAACTGGAATTTAAAACTGTGAAGAAACAAATGATCAATAAACTGTTGGACAGATATACACTAGGATTTGTGCGCTCGACTTTTTTTTTCGCTTTGTGCCGTGAACTTTTAAATGCGCACTTGTGCAGCGCTGCACACTGTGACTCCATGTTGCTTTAAGCACATCATTCTGCACCCGCGATGCGCATACGCGCTTTGTGCGCTCTGTTTTGAAGTGTTCATGGTTTTGCGCACTGAAAGATTATTAAAAGCCTATATATTTTTTATACCTATCCTGCACAATACATTTAAAATAAGTATAATTTAATTGTATATTATTTCTGTGTAGTGTAGTGTAGGCTATATAAATATATACACCACCTCTGAATTCTTGACATTCATATATAAATATAAAATTGTGAAATGTATGATTGCATGATTGAATTTTATAAGAGTACTAATAGTAATTTGTTTTTATTAACATGTTTAGTTTTTATAAAATTACTGTGCAGATTTTTTGAAGAATTACTTTTTGCTGCTAATTTATACACTCATTAAGTTTAATAAAAGTACATAATACATTTATGTAATATTTAAAGGTGTTAACTGTAATCTTACACTGCAAAATGATAACTTACAAAGGATTAAATTCATCACAATTATGGATATTTGCCGCGGGCGAGGGCTTCGATAACCTCTCTCCAGACCTGGGTCTGGTCTGAGCGTGTGAAGGTGTTGAACCGGTGGAGAAAAATATGCCCCTTCCCCCTATTTTTGGGGTACTGATCATGTGCACAGACTCATGACATGTCTTCCTTCAGAACTCTGCTCAGGTTTCCTCTTTGACCTGCCGTCTCAACAGCAGTATATGCCACAAGCGTATCAGAGGTTCACTATGTGTTCCTGCAACAAGCAAAACATGTGTAGCATCAGTCTCATTTTAACTCCAAAGCAGAAGCCTGTTGCTGATTGGATGTTGTAACGGACAACAAGGCCAGAAACATACTCAGGTTGTATATATGCTGGCATGCATTCTTGCTTTATTGTGGCAGTAAAAAGCATTGTACTCAAGGGGGCGATAGAGCTAATTTCATATGTTATTAAGTTGGACGTTTTATGTGTTGTTCACTACTGTTCAAAAGGTTGGAGTCAATAATATATATATTTTGTAAAGAGTTTTTTTTTATATATATAATGTTACAGAAGATTTCTATTTTTAATCAATGCTAAACGTTCTATTCATCATAGAATCCTGAGAAGAAAAAATATATCACAAAATATTAAACAACAACTGTTTCAACAATAATAATGTAATAATAAGAAATGTTTCTTAACCAAATCATCATATTTGATTTCTGAAGGATCATGTGACACTGAAGACTGAAAGTTCAGCTTTGCCATCATGGGAATAATTGTAAAATATTTTAAATTAGAAAACAGTTATTTCAAATGGTAATAATATTTCACCCTCACAGTATTACTTTTTACTGTATTTTTGATCAAATAAATGAAGCCTTGGTGAACATAAGAGACTTCTTTCAAAAACATTCTTACTGACCCCAAACCTTTGATGTTTTGCTAATTTTTTGTGGACAAACTTGTGTTAGTAGTTTACCTGAAAGTGAAAATCGAATTGTGAAATTATTAAATGTTTGAAGCATTTGACCTCTTTGAATGATGCTATTTGATCAGATCACTGCTTTATTAACAGAATTAGCTAGCTTTGATAAATGCAGAAGCTGTTGGTGTGTCTTTATTCCAGATTCACTATGTTTTATCTCAGCAGTTGGGCGCTTGGCCCTGGTGAATTATTTACGGCGTGGAGGGCCGTTGATTGCAGTGCTGAGGATAAAGGTTGGATCATCTAGCTGTGTGTTTTATGAGAGAGGAGCTGTTTGTTATTAGATGTGGATGTATGGAGGTTTTCTACTAGAACAATTGGACCTCTGTGTCGCAGGCTGCTGCGGGGGTGAAAGTTTAATCATTAATTATACACACTGTATATTTACGGCCTGAATTTGTTTGCTATTCCCAATGTGAAAGTCAAACAACCTGATTGATTTTACGATGTAGACGTGTTTTGAAGTTGGACAGACACTGGTCAGTCTGTTGTAAAATAGAGATTTTCTCTTTGATTAGATACATTTACACAAACTAAATGCTGGTTTACATGCTCATAAATTCAGATCTTGGACTTCCAGAAAATACAAAAACAGTTAACAAAAAATACCATGGGAATTACCTCATTTTTTAGACATGAACCATGCTAATTCTATGGTATTATAGTCTCTACCTGCAGATCTCTCAGCCCCTCATTTTCCTCTGCCTGTGGGCTGTGTGTTAATGTTTGTGTGTTTGCCTATCAAAACACCTCTTTTGCTTTCATTCCAGTGTTTTCCTCCTTCACACGTCGCTGGCATAGTTTGTGTGTGGTTAGCTGGATATTCTGGTCTAGGCAGGTCAAGCTGGCTGATCTGCTGGTCCTTAATATTGTGTATGGGTCAGTGGATGTGTTGGCCCTGAAGTCTTTAGTCGGTAAGGCAAGTCAGCTTTGACCCAGGATCAGACTTCTTTGGCAGACTTGGATTTGTAATAGGACCCCCAAAGATAATGATCGTCTTGTGAGGGGACAATATAAAGTAAAATTATATAGTAATAAATTATATAGTAATTAAAATATAAAGAAAGCTGTATATTTGCATAAACTTGTAAAATTTCGATATTATGAAATTATATTTTAATATAATTATATATATATATATATATAATTACAATATATACATATATATATATATATATATATATATATATATATATATATATATATATATATATATGTGTGTGTATGTATATTTCAAGAAATATATCGTATATATAAAAATATCAAGAAAAACATGCAGCTTTGAAATGTTTCTTGATATTTTTACTAGATATATATATATATATATATGTTAAAGGAAACTATATATGGTTTCCCATATACTAATTATTAAAATATAAAAATATTATTATAGTAAAATATTATCAATTTAAAAGATCATTAATATATCAATTATAGCTACATCATTTTAAACATTGCAAATAAAAAGATCAGAAAAATGAACAAAAAATGGATTTAAAAATCATAAAACTGTATGCGTATTTCTTTTTTCTTAGTGGTAGGATACATTTTGTAAAATATATTTTCTCTACACACCAGTTTGAAAGCCTCTGCCTTAGAGGATAGTAAGAGAGGGAGGGAAACCCAGAGGAGGAAGAGAAGTGGAGAGTCCAGTCGCCCTTCCGTGGTTGCCGTGCAACAGGAGGGGCGGGGCAAAGATCAGAGGGAGAGGTTGGGGGCTGGTTTAAGGTCATATTTCACCAGCGCTCTAGTTGTTTGTAATCCTAAACTTTCAATCCTACAGTCAGTGTATGTGGGTGCTTTCTCTGGACAACTGTCACCCAGAGATCAGGGAAACGCCTGGTCTGGCACAGTGCAAGACTGACTTCAGCGAATGTGATTGTATCGGCCATGTGTGTTGAAGTCCCAGGTGAGTGACAAACACCCTTGCGTAGTGAGTGCTGTGACGTTGGAAAGCCAGGAAGAGTATCCGGTGGTGGCTGTCCTCAGCGGCAAGGAGATAACATGGTACACAGCTACAGACGCACCTGATCCTGTTACCGGCTAATGAAAAAGGAAAAGGACATGCGAGCTCATCCATCATCCTTTATGAACTTTATGCCGGGGAAGTTCAATCCAGGTGTTTTTAGACGCAATGTCACATGGGTGTAAGATGATCACTGGCTTGTGAAAACAGGAGCATTTAAAAGTACTAAAGCTAAATGTTAAACCTTCTTGAGCCTGATTTTCTTCAGCTGCAACTTGAGTTTTAAAGACCCCCCCCCAAAAAAAGAAATTGTCTTATTGTCACAGTGGTGTGGCTTTTAATCCGGACCCAGTCTTCTTGGTGGACTTCAAGCTTCAGTTGGGGGAAGACTAGCGATTTCCCAGCCCGCTGCTTGAGTTAATTACTGCTTGTGGATTGCAGCACTCGTGTCGGGATTTCCAGGACTCACATCGGAGGTTTTTTCTATCAAGCGAACAAAAAAGACCAAAAGTTGTCATCCAGGTTGCAACGACACCTGTGGATGTGGACCAGTGAATTTCTACGTTTGGTAGAAGTTTGACTTCATTTTGTGAAGCATTTTTTTGGACAACAGTTTTTCTTTTTATTCCGCAGGAGCCTCATGGATTTAAACCCCAATTACTTCATGATCCTTACGTATAAACCGTGTGATGTAGCTCTACTTTTGATTCCAGACTTGTGAGAAACAGTTAGTCGTGGCTTAACTCTTCAGTTTTTAAGTGACCTCGACCGTTTTGCCTAATTTTCAAGAGGGTATGATGAGGGACAAGCGTTCTGGGTCTTTTAGGAGGGACAGGGACAAGACAGAGAAGGCCGCCCCGATCTCTCGTGCTCTCAGCTGGCTGAGCGTGTCCTCGCTGTCACAGCAGACCCGTAAACTGTTCCGCAGCCAGAACAACCTCCATAGACACTCCCAAACTCCACATGGAGTGGATGAAGATGGTGATGACTGGGTGTATGAACCCCAGCACTACACAGGTGAGGATACACGGTTTCATGGCATTCGTGTGAGCATGTGTATTTTGTGGTCAGAGATCTGAAAGGCTCCCGAGGTCTCCTCTTTTATGTCATGTAAATGTAGTAGAATAAGATAAAAAAATAATTGGGGGTATACACGGTAATGTATAAGGAAAGTGTTATTCTAGATCCCTTTTTACTGTTTTAATCACCTTTTTATTAAATTTTTAAATAGTAGTCTCTATATTAATGTCAGTAAAATCTACATGAATAATAATTATAAAATATTTAGGTTTTAAATGCATTAGAGAACTTCAGTTTCATTTGGAATTACTTGTAATTGTTTTATTCTTATGTAGGACTGAGAATGTTGAGATGAGATGTTGGGAAATAAATTGTTCATTTATATATTTGCTTATTTATATTATAATATTAAATAGATTTATAGTAAATATATTAAAATAAACATATTCATTGGATTTTTTAATTTATATAAGCACAGTACTGTCCTTTTTACTTGAAGCTTAAAAGGTTCATTTAGATATTTTCCTTGTTGTATATAATAAATTAGTGATCAATTTGCTCCATGGGATTTCTGGCTTAACAGCTAAAAGATTCATCTATTGTCTTTGGATTTATTGTTCTTGCAGGAAGTGAGAGAGTAAGTTGTTTACAATGAGGGAGAACTGAGGTCACTGTCTTTTTTATGGCGGGTTTGTCTTTGTTTGAGCCGTTAACACGTCTTCCTTATCGACAGGTTAAGTGAGGGCTGTAGGGCTGGACTGGAGACAGTTGAACGGAGGGCTTTGAGTTCAGAAATGGGAAGAGAGTGCTAAAAAAACGGATATAGCGACTTACACGCTTGTGTAAATGGGTGATGTCACCGACTGGTGGCGATTTGGGTGTAAGAGCCAATGTCAACTGTGTGTGTGCGCGGAAACAAGGGGAAAGTTGTAGTCGCTCCGTCAGACACAGCTGTTCACCCCTAATACTGAATGTCTTAATAATGCTCTTTCAATTAATGGACTGAATTACCTTTTTTTATTTTTTTTATTTTTAATTGCCTTTTAAATTAAAGTAACATCTGCATGAAAGTTGAGTTGAGGTAAGTAAAGCAAAATTACTTGGATACTGGTGTTTTTAGCTGAGAATTGTGAATATAATTGGTTCTTTATGTGTTCAAATATAAAATTTGTATGAAAACAAATGTGAGTCAATTAAAACTTTCAGGTGTTAATCTTTCCAGGTTGAAACTGATTTTCCAAAGCTGATGAAAAGAACGTCATTCTCATGCATATCTCTTTGTGTTGGCCTAAATGTCCAGTGGCACATACTTTGCTTTGTAAATCTAATGACAAATCTGCCACTCCTCATGAAAGCAGAAACTCCACCCTGATATCCCTGTAGACTTTGTGTTTATTGGTTGACCAGTTTGAGTGTGTGTGTGTGGTTTTGGAGCGGAGCTGTAACTCTACGCTGGTTCTAATGAAATATTCTATCAGGGTAGAGTAAAGTTACTGTAGGGGTGACGAGTCTTCCCTCCGCTGCCATTGCTGACTCCGTTAACTCCCACGCTCCTCTACTTGACATGACTTTTGACAATCACATGTTTTGTAGAACAGATTTGCTTATTCATTTTTGTTCCAGCATGTGCATAGTGACGCTTTATCAATGTGGGTTTACAAATACCTGGTGCATTTATAGTAGTCTTCATTTCTACAGAGTTCTGAATCATTTTGTGTAAAGTCATAAATCAGATTTTATCTATCAAACGACACACCCTTTTCAGCAATTGGCATAATATGATAAGCAGTGATTGTGACATTCTCTACTCCATTAAAAGCATTTTTAAGCAGTATTTTTCTAAATATTTTATATTTATTATGCATGCAGTTTTTATGAAGTCATATTAATGTAGAGACTAGGCCTACATTTTAAAATTGGAAAACTTAAACCATTTTTTAATTCATTAAACTTATTTTTGGTCACACACTGTACTAATTAAATGAATAGCAAATCAAAAAGAGAAAAAAACGTGTGCCTTTTTCTATAATACGCATGTATATTACATTTAAAGTCAGCATGAAATGGAATTTGCAATATTCCCTATTGTGAGCCCTATCCCTATATCCATGTGAAATGGCTTCTTGAACAAGAAAAAATGTAGAGCGGGACTTGATTTCGTCCATCGGGAATTGATTGGATTGTTGGAGTGTTCTTGTAGCGATCTCATCTGAGTGACAGGTTGTCCCACCCTCGGGCCGGAAAACGTCATCAGAAAAGAGGTGCTGTTGCAAGAATTAGGGAAGCTATTTTGATTAAAGATTACGAGGGCATGTGAATTTTAAAAAACAATGAGGTGCACGGATAAATCATTTATAATAAATACGGCAGTATTCAATAAAAAATAAGAATTGTCAATTCTGATTTAATGGCGACTTTAAACTCATGACATGCACATATGCGTGCAGACACACATGCGTCCCCAGTGTTTTCCCTGAGGCAGGAAATACACTCCTTTTCCATAGCAGAAAACAATACAGGAAATTTCTCCAAAAGGCCCTAAATTTCAAGTCTATATTACAATCCTGATGTTTACAAGCGTACAAGCTTCTAAATTTAAAACATGTATTTATTCTTTTGGCACCTTTGCTGGTACACGCAGGCCTAATTAAACTGCCCTAACTGCTGCTCCTGCGCTCTTTATTTAAATGCTATCCTATAATTTTGGGCTGTCAGGCCCTTGTAGTTGACCCATAATTTCAGAGTGCGGATTGCCCGGTGTCAGGATGTTTTTGTCGGTTACTATGGCAGTGAATTGACTGATTGTTTGTGTGGCTGACTGTCCTGATTCTCCCTGGGACAGGCTCTATGTCTGCTCGAGACAAATGTCTCAGTCCAAGAAGTCTTGGGACACAATCTCTGCTTTTGCTGCTTGTGGATTAATTGATGAGTTGATTTTGTTGAAATGGGTGATGTTGTGTAGGTTTGGTACCAGGGATGGAAATTATCTTTTTTGTCCACCGGCCACTGTGGCTGGTGGATTTCAAAATCTACCAGCCACTCAATGTTTTTACCAGCCACTTTCTTGTTTTTAACCGACAATGTGTAACTTAAAGGGTCATGAAACCCCCCTCTATCAGCTCAAGTCTAGCTCATAATCTTTTTGAAAAATGCAACTTAAATGGGCGTGGATGGCTGTGAGAAGAAGGGAGGGAGTGGGTGTGGCACGGCAGGGGAGAGGGGGAACTGTCATCAGCCAGCAGTGTTGCCAGATGTACGATAATTATCGTATTTGTACAATAATTTTGACCTCTGTACAATGTACGATCAATAATGAACAATAATCTCAGAGTTTTCAGTCGTTCGTCCAAACACACATCCTACCGCTTCTCTCTCTGACCCCGAATCATTTCGCAGGCTCGCCTGCCTGCACGTACACACACACACACACACACAACACGGTGTCGCCCGGTCTGCACGTCAACACTACACATTCACAAGTCTCCCGCATTAAGCATCCAATTCATATATTATCGAAATATCTAAAATGTTCATAACGACCGCTTATTTAACAAAAGGCAAGTAAAATGACCAGGGTTACATTTTAGAGACACACTCTGAAGGGATAGAAGAGTACTCAGGACTTGGTACCGCATTACTCGCAAGACGTAACTTGCATTGGTCATCGACAAGGCCGAAGTCCACCATTCTCCAATTCTCAAAGCTCTCTCGGGTAAAATGTTTGCGGCACTTGCGTCCCATGATGGTCTCTCTCCTTTACTACGCGATATCACAGTTTGACATGTCTGTGGAAAGATCCACGTCGTGGTGTCATGAATAATTAAGAGACCGTGTCTTCTCATAGGATATAAAAACTCAGTCTCATTAATAATTATGAGAGACCGATGAGTCATCAACGCACTACATTGTGCACTGCCACGTCACAGCCTGCGATGAAGATTTTAAACCCGGAAGACGAAAATAGCTGGAAAAAACTAAAATTTAACCATTTTCGCCCTACTATTAAATCTAACAGATGCTAACATTGTCTTCAATGTTGTTCAACACACATACCTCTGTTAAAATCTCAGAAAATTTGGTTTAGGGTTTCATGACCCTTTAAGCAGTTTATTTAATCTCAAGTCTCAAGGAAATACTGACATTTTCTCTTTCTCTCACCCTCGGCCTCATCCACCTAATATTTTTGTTTTGATGATAAATTGAGCCAGCCTCCAAAAGTTATTAACCTGTCCTGTGATTTTTTTTCTCCCTCTCACACAACACTATCCAGACACGAACTTATGCACTATAGTATGTTGGTTGCCTTTACATTAGAATAATATTTCATATAATCTAGATATGGAATGGAATAATAGCATTCAATACAAAATGAATATGTCTCATATATTGAAATTAAGTTTTATGTGACAAAATATTTGCTTTGTTGTGCATTAGAACCAGACGCTCGAACTTGACGCGCCGCAGGATTTTTTTATGCGCGTAACGCGTCTTTGTATTGACTTAACATTGAAATCACTCGCGCCAGACGCTCTATTCGCGTCTGGTGTGAACGCACCATGATGTTTTCTCTGCAGACCTCTACGCCTGCGATGTAACGCCACTTTTTTTTGAAGGTGTGCCTCCTCTAAAAGTGTCCGCCGTCTGGGTGAAACGGTATGCTATTTTTATTTACCCGCCACGGTGGCCGGTAGGTGAAGCGAGTTTACCCGCCACAACCCAAAATCACCCGCATTTGGCTGGTGGCGGGTGCTAATTTCCATCCCTGTTTGGTACATTTCAATAAATTCACAAACCAGTGCAAAACTTGACCCGTCCGTCTCCCAAGGGATTTTCATACACACTGACTTGATTGAACCTCATGCTTTTTGTTTGAATTATAAATATCCAAGTCTGTCACTTTATTAATAAAACGTATTTAAAGAATATATTTATTTAATTCTGTTGTACAGTAAAATAAAAGATGAATTGAGTAAGTTAGGTAAGAGATCTATATTAAT